CCCGCTTCGGCCTCCCAGAGTGCTAGGATTACAGGTGTGAGCCACCATGCCCGGCCCCCAGATATTTTTTTAAAAATTAATGTAATTAAAAAAAATTTTTGGAGACGGTCTCGCTACGTTGCCTAGGCTGGAGTCCAGTGGCTATTCACTGGCACAAACATAGCACACTACAGCTTCCAACTCAATCCTTCCACCTTAACAGAGTAGCTGGGACTACAGGCACTGTGCCTAGCTTTCCCCAGTTATTTCTATAGAAACTTTGCAGTGCGCTCGAATAAAAATATCTCTCATTAAAAAAGCCCTCCTGAGGAAAGAGTTCATTATGCCAACACTATTCTTATTTTATGGCATAACTACATTGGATAATCCAAAAATATCCATTTTTGACACACTGTTTATCACTTTCTCCTCTTGAGTATTTATTTCCTAATCTCTTATGAGATTAACAGACTATCAGGAACAAGAAACCCAGAGAGCTGAGCCCAGATGTGAGGCTACTTTCCCATGAGGCACCTGTTGATTCCAGAAGATGTAGGTGAGGGGTTGAGAAGCTGAGCTTAAACTTCCAACAGACTCACACAGCTAGGGAGACAAAAGTAGAGTCCTAGATTCACCAAATACAGAAGGCCTCATAAACACCTTAAAATTTGGAGTAGGAGCCAGGCACAGAGACATGCACCTAGTCCTAGCTGAGGCTGGAAGATCACTTTGAGCGTAGAAGTTCAAGTTTAACCTGAGCAACATAGTGAGACCCTGTCTCAAAAAAAATTGTTTTTAATTAAAAAATTTAAAAATTTCAATTAGGCTTAGAGCCTACAAATTGGGGTGAATTAGAACTATTATAGCACTCACGGACTGAAATTCAGCTTCCAATCATCTCAATTCCCAGGTGGATTAAGGCAGTTGTTCCCAAACTTTAGAGTAGACAAGAATTATCTGGATGATTTATTATAACAAATTGTTATGCCCACCCTTATAGTTTCCTCTGATTCAGTAGTTCTCAGGCGGGCCTGAAAATCTGCACATCTAAGTTCCCAGCTGATGCTGACATGCTGATCAAGGGACCACATTTGAGTATCAACGGACTAACATAATCTGACATTGGTAGTGCTCCTAGTCACTAGGACTGAAGTCACAAGTACTTTAGTAAATGTATATCCTCTCTAGAGGAAGAGATTATACTAGGCCACAAATTAACTCTATTTTTTATATGCAGTACCTACCATTCATAAGAAATAAGACAATATAATCAAAAATCAGGAGAAAAAACTGAAAACAGGAACAGAACTACAGGGGATAAAGATAATGGGTTAACACACTACTTCATTACCCTTAGTAAGAGAATATAATCACTTCTGGATTTGATCACCTCTTTATACAGAAAACATACTGTTATTACTGTGGAAAAATAATGATTTAGGACTCAGATAGGACTGTTGTCTCTAGCCAGGTAACTTTCCTTGTAATCATGGGGTTATTACACTAACATTATCATTAATATTAACAAAGATAGCAGACACAAATTGCCTAGCCCAGGAATGGGCATACAGGTAGGAATTCAGTAACTATTAGCTCCCAATTAGAAACACAGGTATCTTCAATTAAAAAGCCCACCATATGTCATTTAAACTTTGTAACAACTCTATCCCTATGTTTTAAAGATCATTGAGCTTAAAAAGCAAAGTAACTTTCCCAAACTAAGTAAATGGATTAGAACAAAGATTGGTCTGATTCCAAAGCCTATGCTTTCCCACACTACACTGCACGAAGAATTTTTATAGTGCTGTTTGTAGAAATATAAACGGTGATTCTTAACAAGAGGTGAAAACAATATTATTCCAATGAAGACTGAAAACCATTAAGGTACAGAATAATCTCAAAAATCAATAGAACTATACTATCAATGCCTTTACATTAATGTGGAAATTAATCCTTCCTCTTAAGAATTGTTTAAGCCAAAATTATCTATCCCAATATATAGAGAGGCACATAATAGCTAATTCAACCAAGTATCTAAAGTGATCATAAATTTTCAATTTTTTTTTTGAGAAAGCATTTGGGCAAAGCGATTGACAACCCAAATCAAACCAAAGCAACTTATATAGAGAAATGAATTTATATAGAGAAAGAATTTGATCTATATTAAGTCAAATTCTTAAATTTCTCAATTCTGTTGCCTAGAGGTTGCTATCAAAAGCTATATATACTTTACTCCACAAAAATACAACCATTATTTCTAGCTTTGTCAGATAACTATGTATCTCATGAAAACAAGCCTTTATTATGTTGTCAAATTCCCTTAGAAAAAGGTTCCCTACCATGTGATGCTTAGATATGTAGCTCCAGGGGTGGTAAAAAAATCATTCCACAGGAGCATATTGGGGTATAAATTTGTAAAAATTCTCTTAATCACACAATTACAAAATTATAGGACACAATTCTAGTTGCCAGAAAATTCATAGACAATTGTTGAAGTAAAACTCAACATATAAGTTATTTTAGACCTGGCATACTTACTTCTCTTCTAATTGTTTTTATTTTCCATCATTTTATTGGTGCTCCTATCTTGTTAATCTACATCAAATTACTGGGAGGAAATAAGGTGTAATGAAATAAAAAATATATATATATATACGGCTAATTATCTCTCTGCTTAGAGCATGCCTATTAATAAAATCAAGATGATATATTCAGTCTGAAGGTCCCTGCAAAATTTTAATCTGCCCCGCACCAGCCTAAGACAGTTTTCCAGGTAATGCAAGCACAGCATCAGGAGAACTACTGTGAAAAGATGACTCATCAGTTTGAAAACAGATCACATGACTAGAAAACCAACTATAAACATGGGCCTTACTGACATCAGATCTGCAACTATAAACATATCATTATTTACAAATGAACATCCATTTATAAAGGTTCAATAACACTGTGTGTAATAATGATAAAATATAGCTACTTATGGAAATTTGCTAGTGCCATACACTATATGAATTACATAGTCTCATATAAATCTCACAATTCTATAAAGTGGATAGTTATTAGCAGGCCTAGAATCTGATATTCTGTCTGATTTACTACTATAATATACCACTCACCCAAAAATGTTATATAGTAGTCCACCTTTATTTATCTGCGGTTTTGCTTTCCATGGTTTCAGTTACACTGTGGGTCCAAAAATTGTTTCTAAAGTTTTGCTATGATATCATCATTGAATTTTTCAGAGATTGTGAATAATGTTCAGGCAAGGGAAGTCCATACTAATTCATAGAAGTACAAAGGAGGCACCAGGGCATAGAACATGAATAGACAGATTAACTTTCGGACTTTGGGGCATATTATAAAGCCAGGAGTAGTGTACAGAGCTAAGAAGCCAAATACTCTCAAAAACAAAAATTATCTGCCCATGTTCTGGAATCATAAATCATAAAGCGTAGGTGACAGCCATTTTGTTTATGGTATGGTTCCACCAATGCTTCATCCCAGTGTATAGGGTTTGGTACTACCCAAGGTTTCAGGCCTTCATCCCCCACATGGATAAGGGGGGATTACTGTATGCTTCTCTCAACTGGATATCAATCTATAGTCTACATTTATACAGTATAAACAAAGATACAGGGATTAGCAAACTTCTTCCGTAAAGGGCTAGAAATATTTTAGGCTTTGTTGGTCATCAAGTCTCTGTTGTATCTACTCAACTCTGTTCAAATATTCAAATCTGTTGTAGCACAAAAGCGGCCAAGGACAATACAGAAAGAAATGAGTATGGCTATTTTCTAATGAAATTTTATTTATGGACACAAATTTTAGTTTCATATAACCTTCACGTCATGAAATAGTATTCTTTTGATTTTTTAAATGCTTTTTTCAAGCATTTAAAAATGTAAAAACCATTCCAGGTTATGGACCACAGGCTGAAGGCCAGATTTGGCCTGTAAGCTTTAGTTTGCCAACCCCTGCATTATAATATTCATTAAGTAATGAGCATAGCCA